ACCCTTTTATGTAATGATGTTTACTTTGAATTTATATTAGTTCACACAAACACTCCATCCATGCTTTTGTTCCGGCCCTCCGGTCCAGTTTAAGAACCCATTGTGGCCCTCGAGTCAAAAAGTTTGCCCACCCCTGGGCTAGGGCCAGCTTGAACATTTTGAAAAATGTTTCTGACTATAGTTCTATACTGTTACTTGTTGACTAACTGGTACATGTTTAATTCCTGTGCATGCAGCTGAATGATAAAGAAGAAGCTTTGGCTCATCAGAGAAAAGTTAGCTACATGCTTGCTCGGGCACTGGAAGACAAAGACATAGGCTCAAGAGAGAATAAAGAAAAAAATCCCATGAAAGACAATTTTCCATTAAAACACCCCAAGCAGAAAACTTCAGAATTCTGTGTTTTGCATGATCCTGTACATTCAAGTGTTCACATTTTTAATTCTGTGGGCTGTGTTTGTTCAATCCAGCACCTTCATACAGATCAAAACTATAGAAGAACTCTGAAAAGATCTAATTCTTTGCCACGAAATATCATCTTTTGAAGATAAACCAGTTGAAATTAGAACTGAGAACTGTGTATGTCAAGAGACTTTGAAAAAGGATTGTGTAAACATTGCCACATCTTCAGAAATTGTATGTTTTCCGGGTTTTCTAAATTTTAGGAGGCAGCTTAAATACTCAAATGTTTTCTATAAGAAATTTTTTAGTATTCTGTGATGACATTTATAAATTACATTACTATATTTTATAAAATCTTCATTATTTGCCAACTTCTTAAACACAAAAATATTTTGAGAAAAGCAAAAAATTATTTAACTATTTAGAATGACTATGGGGATCTTTGACTGGCTCAAGCAAGAATATAATGTAAATTAATGCTCTAAGAAATAACAATACCTACGAGTGATGGAATGTTAATTTTTGAAATACATTTATCATGTTTTATTTGTGTGTGTTTTTCAGGATTTTTCATTTGCCACATAACATTTTTATAAAATTTCCTTAAGTTACTCTTTTATGGTGGAACTTTGGCAGAAGTATATTCAAAGTCACAGCTAGTAACCTTCCTAGTTTTTTTTGTTGATGTAATGACATTCTATAGCCAAATCTACCAGAATTCTGGTATTCAGACCCGTCTGAATTAACTTCTTGGTTTTGATGCTAAATTTTAGGCCACTTAATTTTCTATTTCTATACATATTACATAGTAATAATCTTTAATAACTTTTGGGAATGTTGCTATATTAGTAGCATCACAATTATGTCAAAGGAAATATTACATTACCAGCAATTATAATAAAATTTATCTCATTATGTTCTCTAGTGAAAAGATACATGGCTTCACTGAATACTACTTAAATAGGTAACAATAGAGTATAAGGTAACAATATGAATCATTTATAGTTGTGTTAAAAGGAGAGTATTTAATTGGCATTAGTAAATAATAATAAAAGCTGAAAACTTGGCAAATAAACTTTGAAAAAAAGAAGAATGATGAAGACCTGTTGTTATCAGATATTAAGATATAGTATCCTGATAATAATATAGAGCTACATTACTTAAAGCAGTGTGGTACCAGCAGGTCAATGGAATAGGATAAAGACCATACACAGACCTAGTATATATAAGAGTTTCATATAAAATGTAAGGTTAAGGAGCCCTAGCTGGTTTTGCTTAGTGGTTAGAGCATCAGCCTGGGGACTGAAGGGTCCCGGGTTCGATTCCGATCAAGGGCACATGGTCCGGTTGCAGGCTTGATCCCCAGTAGGAGGTGTGCAGGAGGCAGCCAATGATTCTCTCTCATCACTGATGTTTCTCTCTCTCTCTACCTCTCCCTTCCTCTCTGAAATTTCAAAATAAAAAAATAAAAAATGTAAAAATACATATGCATATAAATGTTCTACTTTTAAAATAATTGTGAAAAACTGAAAATAACCTAAATACCCATGTGGTAGAATTCTAAAGACGACCTTTCTCACGATTCCCATCTAGGGACAGTGTAGGTAACTGCCATGAAGAGATTTTTAAGATGTATTTAAAATCCAAGTGAGTTGGCCTTAATATATGAATAACCCGATTAGGTGAGCGGCTCCCCCCACCCCTTTTTTTTTAAGGAGCAGAGATTTCTTAGTAGCTGATGAGGAAGACAGACAACCTGAAGCACTGTTGCTGGCTTGTAGATGGAAAGTGCCATATGACAAGGCATGTGCACTGCCTTGAGAAACTGAGAGAGGCCCCTGGCTGACAGCTGGGAAGGAAAGGTGGCATGTGCATTAAAGCAGCATGAACTAAATGAACTTGGAAACAGATTCTTCCCTAGAGCTTCAGATAAGCACCCAGTCCCACTGATACCTTGATTTTGGCCTATCTGACCTCACAACTATGAGCTAATAAATTTTTGTTAATTTAAGCTGCTATATTTATGGTAATTTTTATGCAGCAAAATAAAAACAACAGTCCATAAGTAGAGCATATGTAAATAGTATTGTACACATATATATAATCCTCCTATATAATAAAAGAGTAATATGCAAATCGACCGAATGGCAGAATGGCCGGTTGCTATGATGCGCATTGACCACCAGGGGCAGACACTCACACAGGAACTGCCCCCTCGTGGTCAGTGTGCTCCCAAAGGGGGAGCACTGCTCAGCCAGAAGCTGGGCTCATGGCTAGTGAGTGCAGAGGTAGTGGCAGGAGCCTCTTCCACCTCTGCAGCAGTGTTAAGGATCCCCCGAGGGCTCCCGGAGGATAATAAGAGGGTGCAGGCTGGGCTGAGGGACACCCCCCACCCCAGTGCATGAATGCTGTGCACCGGGCCTCTAGTATGATATATGATATGACAGCTAAAACAAACTAGATTTATATATATTAACATAGAATAAATTCGAAAGTTTTGAGTAAAAAAATTTGCAGGATGAGGTGTATAGTCTATCACTCACATAAAATTTTGAGACCCAAAACAATGCTGTGTATTACTACATGCAATTTTATAAAATAGCAGTATAAAATCAGGGGAGGACACACTCATCTCCTTAGTCATTCTCCTTTGGGTAGGGTGAAAAGGAAGAAACCGAACAGAATGACATATTAAAGGGACTTCAATTTTATCTGTAATAATTTCTCTTTTTTTCCTATTTAGTATATTAACTAAAGTATTTGCTACATTACTACTATATTGTTCCTATTACCACAACTTTGTGATGTTATAGGAGCCAGATCATCAAAATAACTGGAAATTATTTTTATTAAGATTTCCTTAATGCATTTCAGAGAACTGAACTTATTTTTGCACTCTAATCAGAAAAATCAAAATTAAGTTTGTTTTAAAATACATTTAATAAAAATAATTGTTTTACATATTTTACATGTATAGAATATTTACAATTCCTTCTATAGCATTTACTTAATGTTTACTATTTTTAAATTATTTGCCGTTTTGACTATTTCCTTCAGTAGTGAAATACTGTCCAGTGTTATCTGTAACTAAAAAATTAGCTTCTTGGGTAATCCTCCTAGGTGAAAAAAAAAAAAAGAGGTTGTTCACATTTAAGTTTATGGCAATTTTAAGCAGTCATTGCATTCCCATTACATTTATTTTATTTGCTTTAATTTTTCTAATAGCATTTGTTAAGCATTAAGCATACAATGTACCAGTAGGAATTCATGAAGAGAAGGTACACATTGATAGTTCTGGTTACTCTGAGGTACACTCAAAAGTGTTCTTGTCGCCCTAACCGGTTTGGCTCAGGAAATAGAGCGTCGGCCTGAGGACTCAAGGGTCCCAGGTTCAATTCTGGTCAAGGGCATGTACTTTGGTTACAGGCAACTACCCAGTAGGGAGTGTGCAGGAGGCAACTGATCGATGTTTCTCTCTCATCGATGTTTCTAACTCTCTATCCCTCTCCCTTCCTCTGTAAAAAAATCAATAAAATGTATTTTTTTTCAAAAAAGTGTTCTTGTCCTTTTAAAGAGCATGTAAATATTCTCAAAAGAATTTTTGCAAATGCAGCTAAAAACACAACATTCTATCTGTATTCACTGCATTTCTTATAAAATTGAGAGTTTTACCTTGTTCCAAGGCTTCTGTTCTCTTCCGTTTCGTTGCCAGAGATGGATTAGCCTGCTCCTTTAAAGTTTCCACTGGACAGTTTGGTCTAGGCAGTTGACATCCAGGTGTTGGCCCTGGCCGATTACTGAAATACTTAGTTTTCAATGCCTTTTAAAAGAACAGATAGCAAAGAAAGTAAACTTTTAAGTTAGTATCTGGATTGTGTTTAAAGAAATCTAACCTTAAAATTGTTGGGAATATTAAAAGTGCTATGTGAAGCCCTCTGCTTCCAAAAAATGAAATTAATGTCAAGTATTTAGACAAGCAAATTATTACAAATAAACAAACATCTAGGAGCCTAAGACTGACTGATAATTCTATTACTGTAAGAAAGACACTAACTTTTAATTTTCCACAATTACAGTCTATACTAAATATGAAATATCTTAATAAGATATTATGTAATTCAGCTCTCTATGCAGTTTTACTATTAATGAAAACAATTTTCTAGATAGTTTGATCTGATCTGGAGTTTCATATGATGGAGATAATATGCATATATGTATGGGTGAAAAGGTAGTGAGTTACTTGTATGTATTCACGTAGCATTTACATAAAAAGAGAGGGCTTATAGAAGGAAATGCACTAAACAGTGATGTGGTCATCTGTAATAAACAAGTGGAAAAAAAAAGTCCACTTTGTATCCTGGATATAGTGTGTATTAACAAGTTTCATTAGATCGGAAGACTTGACATTTCATTTTAATTAGTCTCTTCCTTTATGAAGCCAAATCATTGCGCTGTTAAACTTTTACATATCCCTGCCCCGAATTTAAGTGTTTGTGATTCTACCCTTTCTGTTTGTGTGCTTGTTTTTACAAGGAAAATGTGTTTTGTTTCTTTTCTCAAATCTATAGTTCTTATATTTTTGTGTTGGATAACATTTCTAGAGAGCAGATATACTTGGTCTTTCAAATTTTTCTTGAGTTTGATTTTTTTATTTATTTTTAATGTTTTCAAGGTTCATTTGGGTGGTGGCATGTATCAATGCCTCATTCCTTTTTATAAAAAATATGTTTTTATTGATTTCAGAAAGGAAGGGAGAGGGAGAGATAGAAACATCAATGATGTGAGAGAATCAATTGGCTGTCTCCTGCACACCCCCTAATGCAGCGGTTCTCAACCTGTGGGTCGCGACCCCTTTGGCAGTGGAACAACCCTTTCACAGGGGTCGCCTAAGACCATCCTGCATATCAGATATTTACATTACGATTCATAACAGTAGCAACATTACAGTTATGAAGTAGCAACGAAAATAATTTTATGGTTGGGTCACAACATGAGGAACTGTATTTAAAGGGCCAGAAGGTTGAGAACCACTGCAATGGGATCAAGCCCACAATCCAGGCATGTGCTCTTGACTGGAATTGAACCTGGGACCCTTCAGTCCGCAGGCCGACACTCTTATCCACTGAGCCAAACCAGCAAGGGCGAGTTTGATTCTCATTTCCTTTAAACAACTGTCAGTTTCAGTGTTTGTTCTATTTGGACTATTTTCCAATCTCTGGTAAGCACAGTTTTACTGAACAATACCATTTTCTCCCCATTATCACTTTCTGACTGTAATAATGGCCAGTGTGCATATCTGGACTGTATTTTATGGGAAACAAGAAAACGCTTTAGGCATTAGGCTTGGCACAACATTTCAATTATACTTAACATCTAATTGAAATATTCTAGTGTCTTGCTCAGCTGGTTGTGGCTCATTGGTTGATCATAACCTATGAACCAGCAGTCACAGTTCAATTCCCGGTCAGGGCACATACCCCAGTTTCGGGCTTGATCCCTTGGTAGGAGGCCTGCAAGAGGCAGCTGGTCAGTAATTCTCTCTCATC